AAGCAAGCAGAAAGGGAGTTGACAACTGCCGGCCTTGGGACCGTTTCAGCGATCAGCCGACATGAGGGCGAAATAAGAAGAAATCATCTTTCCAGTGTGTTGTCGCGCAGTCACCAATACACAATTGCCGATTTGGCCAACGTCACAGCGGCAGAGAAGCGAGGACAGCAGAGAATGGAGGATGACAGACTATCGCGTCAGAGACGAAATGGCGTAGGGATTGTCGCCTCCGGCGATGGGTCGTCACAGTCACCGACTGTGCCGTCGTGAGGCTGGCATGCTCGACCGAGGGCTGCATTGTCGATGGTACTGGTCGAAAGTTGTTATGGGGCCTTCCCAGCCTATTGGCCAGCCTCTTCTGACCGATTAAACAGACAAATAGGCAGAGAAATGCTTCCGAGCCTGACAACCCTCCGGCTGAGGAGAGGGAGAGATGGACAGACAGACGGACAGCATTGGGTGGGAAGAATAGCCCCACAAATGACATTCCTTTTGCCTAGAGCGCCGTAAAGGAGACACTGAGACCAACAACTGGAAAGGGTATCTGGACTGTCGTAGGTTTCATAGCCTGAGTTCGTCTCTCGCGTCCCAAGCTGGCTTTTGTGAAGCTGTCCTTGCATGCGTGTGTGTCCAGGGATGTCGCTTTATGCCTCAATATGCGTGTATTCTCCTTCCTTGTCTAGGCCTATCAATTCGAACATGCTCGCCCATGTGTAATTCGAATGCTTGCAGTACCGTGTCGATTGTTACATGTAGGCCAGTAGCTGAGAGGGCGTGACAACCGTGTCAACACGACACACAGCTTCAAGACGCTTTTTGCCACTGTCAGACCCGGTGAAACCGGTACCGTGGCAGCAGCAGATTTGGGTGAGCTCTTACGCGTCCATGCGCAAATAGACCTCCATAGACCTGTGACCTGAATGTACATCACAAAGACTCACGAGCTGGTACTATACTGACATGTTCGAAGGTATATTCCTATTCATTACGTCTCCTGCCAGACATATCAGCAGCTTGGCTGTCAGGGCAGCAGAGAGAAAAGCGAATATAGGAAGTGAGAACAAGGCAAAAAAGAAGGTCTAGGCAGCATAACCGAAATTACAATAGTCCAGACTCACTGATGTGCGGGCTAACATATGGAGAGATGGACTGAGAGCATGCTAGACCTAAGAAAGCCTAGAAAAACAAACGATACATTGGCGACCTAAGTCATAATGTGGCCCCGAACGGTAGATAGACACACATATTATCCAGCCACAATCGAGCTCAGAAATAGACCGTGGGGTAGAATGCAAAATAGCCAGACGAGGTCGAATTGCTGTACCGTCATTTATTCTACCATGAGAATATTGGCGCTAAACTTTCTGTGCCCCCGTGTAATTAGAAACATGTCATTTTCACATTCTCCATCACCTTTTTATAGCAAAGTATCAACATTGTGTTATTATTGTATTCTGATCTGAACTCAATATTTTAATGTATCGTATACTATAGTACACAAACGTCTATTATAGTATAGTATAGTATAGTATAGTACAGTATAGTATAGTATAGTATAGTATAGTATAGTATAATATAATATAGTATAGTATAGTATAATATAATATAGTATAGTATAG